ATATACATACAAATACATACATATTTGTGTGTATATATACACATATACATGTATACATAAATATAATTATCCTCAATAATTTCCTAAACTACTTCTACTCTATCTTTAATAATGCAATAAGAATTATAGGTTGAGACTTTATTTGGGAGGTACATGTCCATAGTGGTGAGGCTGTGAGAAAAAAGTACCTGAGGACAGAATGATGTGAGTCAATGTGGTGAGATGTGTTATTGTGTTGGCTACTGCTTTAAAGAAGACTGCAGAGAGTGCACTCAGGGGTCTGTTAGTTTGACATCATATAACATCTCTGCGAAGTCTGAAAGATGGAAGGATCTCCTAGAGAAGTTTCGCAAAGAAAAAAAGGAGAACGAATTTAACTGACCAGCTTCCTCCCACCTTCTATATATTTTTGTTGGTTAAGGTGAAGCCACTGGCAGCTCACCAGCTCTACTGGGCTCAACATCACGGTGTTGCATCTAAACCTGAACGCAGAAGGCACCTTGTGCTGACCTTCATGGGGAAGGCAGGAGGCAATGCAACATATCTGAGAAGGTGTGCTAGGTTTATGCCCAATCTGTACCTTTTCTCAATACTGTAAATAAAATCTTTATATTGACATCATTTCTTTGAGCAATGTTTTTCCAGTGAAAATCTCTTGAAATTATACACAAATATTATCAATTTCCAAAATGAAAGCGAAACAATTGTTTCTCTAGTGAAATATTCTTTCCATTTTTATCAAAATTGCTAGTTTAATCATATTAAAAATATAAATCAATAGCATTTTACATTTTTATACTCAATTATATAAATTCTGACTGAAAGGCATTTAATATAAATGTGATTCAAAAAAGCAAATTTTAAATTTTATTAGAAAATTTTGCTTTTAGGATAAAATTTTATACATTTTTTTTTTTTCCTTTTTTTTTCTTTTATTTATTTTTTTCCCCCCTTTGTTTCAAGTTTTTTTTTTAGGATTACCTTTTTTCAAAGGTTGCTGTTGAATGAAACCCAATGTTTGAGTCAGAATCTGACCAGCAACCTTCTTTCACATTCCAAAACAGATGTATTCTGTGTAAATTGGTGCCCCAATGAATTGCCAATCTAATATCGGGACATCTATTACTTTGCCTTCAATCCTTTTCATTCTCTTATCCTTAATACTTCCTCTTGCTTAGAAGGACATATGGTAGAGTCCCATAACACAACTACTTTTCTCCAAGAGATCAAAAGATACTCTCCCAAATATAGGAACTATACATGATTAGTGTCATACTACACATTGTGAGTCCAGCCCCAACACTTGCATTTTAAAAATTCCAGTTCAGTCATGAGAGATCCTAGGTCTTTTTCTTTCCTGTTCCTATAAATTAAACACAGTGTAAGTTATCCCCAAATATCTATCCTATCATTATAATGAAATGGAGTCATAATCACCATTCTTAAATATTCTCTTCTCCATGCTATAGGAATCCCTGTTATATACACATATGCAAACATAAATATATATATATATATATACACAGCAATACTCATAGACACACACAAAGAAGTCTATGTCAGTCCAAGGAAAACAGACTCTTCTAGAAGTAGGAAGGAACTAAGGGCTAAATCCCAATAAGGCTTGACTTATTTATGCAGAGGACAAGCAATTCCTTCCCCCCAACATAACCTGAAATTTTTACTTTAAAATTATCTGAGTTAATATTAATAGAAACTCTTACAGACTTACAAAAAATGTGAAAAGCCCTGGGAAGTTAAGAGCTCATGAGTCATTTACAGATTAAGGTGAATTAGTTCCACCAGATTGTTTTCTTCTTAACATCTAGACAAGATCCTGTTGCACACTAAGGAAATGAAAGATTAAGATGGGAAAAGGGGATGAAGAAAAGAGGCAATCTGAGGACACAGAGTACACTTAAAGCCTCTGAAGTGTTGCCAAATTTAGGAGAGTGTAGCTTGAAGGTACAGGGGCCTGGGAGAAGGTTGCAATAGTTAAAACTGAAAAGGTTTATAAAAAGCCAGAATTGAGCTTAGGGAAGAATGATCCGCTAGGAAGTTAATTTTTCTCACTTTTATCCTCATCCTAGAATCCAGAACTCAAGCTAAAATGATTAAATATAGTTCAGTTACATTTCATGAGTTACTTAAGACTGCAGGGTTGCCCTAGGTATTATACTACTTCTTGTAACATGTGTTTTAAGTTCCAAACTATTTACCTAAGCAAATTATTAATAAGCATTTAGCGCTATATCTTAAGACACTTTTGGATCTTATTACTGTCATAACTATGAATTGAACATACAACATATAATGAATTAATGGTAATTTGGGAAACTTAAAATGTTCTCCCTATTGATTCTTTTCTAAATTCTGAATGAAACTGGAAAAATAATTTGTGAGACTCCTTAAAATTTTACTGAAAGTATTCAATGTGTAAGTTTAATTTATCAAATTTTAAAAAAGGAAATCAGATTTATTTTACTATTAGACAATAGCTATGTGTAATTTATGATAATAGGCAAATACTAACATTCATATAATGGCTGGAAATTCAACCAACAGTCAACTCACTCAACAAATATTAAGTGCCCTCTGAGCACAGAGTATGCAGGTAATATATATATAAATTTTATCATCTTTTCAGAAGTTTCTCTATAAAAATTAAATTAACATACCATGCAAATTAATGTGCCACTACCTGAATACAATGTATTGAGAAATGACAAACTATTTGAAAGCTTAATGGTATGTTTTAGCTGTGTGAATTCTCACAAGATAAGGATTACCATTTTTTCCAAGCATCGGCTTCTCCAATTTCCTACTTATTCCATTATTAAGTTTAAGGAGTATATTCTACTATTGTACGAGTTCTTGAACATGTCAGATCACAAAGGGAATTTGCATTTAATATAATAACTGTACTATTCTTCATTCTACTACTCAAAAGAATGAAAGAAGCAGGTAAGATAAAAATAAATCCAAAGGGACTAGCAACCTTATATTATGCTTGAGTGGGTATTATTTATTCTATAATGTATTTAATAAATTCCACAATGAAATATGCATAAAGTTGATTATACATTAGTATGATCTTAAACTGTTCAAAACATATTATAAAATAGTCACTTCCATCCAGAACACAGCTTCACATTTAAAGGTAAATTCTACAGAGAATTTATTTCCAAAAATACTCACAATAGCACCAACAAAAAGTGACTATAGGCTTGTTATAATGGAATAAATGAAGCCTAAGTCTTAGGTCAACAGATACAAAAACCTGACATAACTCAGGAAGCTGAGGCAGGAGGATCCCTTAAGCCCAGGAGTTTGAGGCTAGCCTGGGCAACATAGCAAGACCCTGTCCTACATTTAAAAAACAAAAAACAAAAAAAAACCCTGACATATTTGGTTTCCATCCAACCATCTTTTATTTCAAATATTTAAAGTTCATGCAACAAATTCTTCAAAGGTTTCCCCCACTTTATAATTTCTTTCAAAGAAGCATCCACACTGCCCATAGAGCAAACCCCCCAAATCTTTAATAATAAACCAATATGTTCTTACAATATAATTAAAAGAAAGTATGCAATGCTTTAACTCATTCCATAAACAAGGAAAATGAAAATCTATTAACTTCCCTATACAGCAATGGATGTTATTTACTAGTCACAAAAAAGGAAAATTTTTAATTAATTTAGCTGATTAAGTTGAATTAATTTTTAAACAAAATGAAAAAATTTATTAGATATATCAAATTATTTACTAGACATACAGGCTTAGTAAATGTCCTTGCAGCAGCTATAGTTAACCTAGGGATTTTCATCATTTGAATTACATCCACAATTAGCAGGCAGAATAAGATAAAAATCTATAGTGCCTCAATGATTTTACTATTATTATTGTTGTTACTGATAACATGCACATGTAACAAGAAACCACCAAAGCCAGGAAAAACAAAATATTTCTAATATCGGGATGGCATATTAACTTTAGGTAAAAATGGTAAAGATAATAAAATTAAAATAAGAAACCTTCCAATGGTTCCTTGAAATTATTTTCTTTCAAGAACTAATGTTCCAATATATAATACCCAAAACAGGGATAAAGAAGGTTGACCTTGCCAGCCATCTGCAAAGTCTCAACAAAACCTTTGTTTGCATGTTAATACCTATAAGGACAAAATAATCTTTTAATCTTAATGAAAGGACAATATTAAATGTCTCAAGTAACGCAAATATGGAGGAAAAAGAGAATACTCTTGCATCTAAAGGCCACTTTTACTTGCACTTATATTAGAAGCAGCTCTTTCAAGTCTTCAGGAAGAGATCAATCACCACCCAAAAACAGAGAAATCAATTTCCATGCATCCTCTCTTCCAATACTTCTTAAAACCCACAAATAAATTATGATATGTCATAACTGGGTAAGTTGTTCAGGGAAAAAATTTCAAAGTGAAAATCTAAGAGAGTAAGCCACTGCGTGCACACTCTTCTAGCAAAACAGCGAAGCATTTCCTACGTGACTAATCTATTTTAAATTCGGTTCCTCTGTTCCTATGCAATCTAATATTATCTATTAAAACTGCCAAAATATTTTTAAACAAGATCTGAGAATTTCTCTCTCAGCTTCTGATCTTTGCACTCCTTAAGTTGGCAGACACGTCACTGGCAAACCAATTGGTAGTGACAAGTTACTCCAAATCGTCTCTTTCGGATGAAATTTTAAATTAACAGCCATCTAAAAATTTTCCATGCCTCCCGAATCTCAAGGAGTGAAGGGTAAGTATATCCTCCGACTCTACGCGATCACCTGCTGCAAAACTTGGTCTGCAGAATCTATAAATGCATATTCCAACTCATAATCTTTTCCCCAAGATCCTGCAACATTCAGACTTACTAGAATTGTCGTTTCATATCTCAACCTTTGTGAACTCTGAGCTTGCAGACCACAAATATCTAACAGCACTTTCAATGTTTCTCCATGATAAGGTCACACACCTCTGCATCCAAGGCTTGTATGTCCCACATGTGTTTGCAAATTCCTCACTCGGCCTTAGAGGCACAAAGAGTCTCTCGCTTCCCTGCACCTCGGTGCCAAGTTTCTGTAAGCCACTTCCAAGCAAAACTCTCCTTCTGCTTATAAAAAGAAAACTACATTCACAAGGGGAGAATACCCAGGAAGAAAAATGAGACGGTAAGTGCAGCACTTTTATGAAGTAAACAAACAAAAAGACTGCCCCTGACGTAGGAGGCTGCAGAACTCGGGCCGGCGCGCACGACCCGCAGCGCACACCCCCACAGCGCCCCGCGAAGCCTCCCGGCGCCGCCTGACGACCCCTGCCCGGCTGGGAGAACGGACTCGGCACCCCGGCTTCACTCGGAGGGAGACGCTCCAGTCAGGGCCGCCGCGCTCCCCTCCTTCCAGCGGCCCCCGCACACCGAATTTCTCCGGGAATCGCCCACGCGAGCCCGAGGCCGCCCTCTCCTTCCGGCGGCGGCCGTGCGGAGCCCGCTTCCTTGGACGCCCGCCCCCGAAGTGCCCGCGCAGCCCGGCCACTCGGCCGCCCCAAGTTTGCCCGCGGCCGCGCGAACGCGTCCCGCACTCGGCCGGCCGGGAGCGCGAACGTCCGCTGTGGTACGTACTCGGCCCGCGGCGGCAGCGGTCTTGGCGCGCTCTCCCCAGGGACTGCTCAGCCCCAACTCTGAAGTGACGGCCCCCGGCTCTCCCTCCTCTGGCGGCTGCGGGAGCCGGGACGCCCCCGCTCCCATCGAGGGGGGAAGGGAAGGCGGTGGGCGCACTCTCCCTGCTCCCCCCAGCTCAGGCCAGCCCGCCCCGACGGCGCTCGCTTGGCCGCGGTGGCGGCGGCGGCTCCTCCGCGCTCGAGCGCGCGGGCGGCGGCGGCGGCGGCGGCGGCGCCTCCCCCGCCGCTCCCTCCCTCCCCTGCCCCCCCGCGCGCTACACCCTCCCCCGCCTCCGCCGCCGCCGCCTCCACCCCCCCGCCGCTGTCACATTGGGAGATTCCGCTCTTGCTACATTCGCCGCTCCGGCTCCCGCCCACGCGCGGCCGAGTGACGCAGATCCCGGCGTGGGCCGCCGCGGGGCGGGGGCGGGGGCGGCCGCCGGGCCCGGGCTCGGCCTCTTCCCGCCGCCCCCTCCGCGGAATCCGGAGGGCGGCCCATTCACACGGCAGCTGGGAGGAACCAAGTGGGCGCCCGGGAGGGGGCGGCTCCCGCGAGTCCCAGACCGGGCGGGGAGGGGGCGAGGAGGCGGGAACGCGGGCGGGGGACGCCGCCTCGGGCCTGTTCTCCAGCTGCGGAGCGAACTGGGAAGGTTTGCAATTAAAAAGAAAAATTATGTGTGGGGTTCCCAATATAGTATTTCAAAGAGCACACCCCGCCAAATCCAGCATCCCCCGGAGGCTGACTTAAAAAAAAAAAATAGCGCGCCGGGCCCACTAATCTAGGCGCCCGGCCCGCCCCCGCTCCCGCAGGCGCCGGGCGGAGGTGGGCGGGCAGGTGGGCCAGGTGCGCCCGGCCCGAAGGCGCGGCGTCCAGCGGGAGGTGGGCCGCGGCCGCTCGGAGGAGGAGGGCGGCAGGTGCGCGGCGCGGCGAGGACCCGCGGCGCGGAGGACGTCGCCTCGCCCGTCTCGCCCTCCCCACCACCTCCCTGGCGCCGGGACGGGAGGAGGAGGGGAGGAATGGGAACCCACAAACCCGAAGTGCCGCCTGGACAACTGTCGCGCTGGCTGGGCAACTTAGTTCCAACCTTTTCAACCTCCCGAAAACCTGCCTGTTAGGTTAATGTTCTATATTTACGTGATACAGAGAAAACGGCGCTAGTACAGAGCTGGAGTGTAGACGTTAACATAGCGTTCCCAAGGTACGATATACAGTTTTTGAGTTTGGTTTGCATAAACTTTTCTAACCAAAGAAAGTGTTAAAACACCTTCAAAACTGTACTTACTCTGCTTTAAAATCTATAATTCCTTTGTTTGCAAAAATGGAAAAAATAATTATCCGAATTTTAGCATTGTATTCTTGAAGGGTAGAGAGCATTTGTTAATTTAAAACTACTGCAGATACAGGTAGAATCCCGTTTTAACATATGTATAAAAAATCCAGCTTTATAGGAGGCCATTCCCACATCCTGGCTGGCCTCCCAGAGTGTGCCTACTTTGCTGACGGGGATACAAGGCATTCTTTGAGATGGTAAATTCTTCAAACTACATCTTTATGTTGTAGCAATGGATAGGATGATGATAGTATTGAAAGAAAAAGACCAGTAAAATACAGAACCTTTTTTTCTTTCTTCAAAAACACATTATAGAAATGAGTGATACCACAATGGAATATATATATAAAATTTAAAAATCTATTTCTTTATTGTTAATGACAGGTTCTGTCTGGAGTAGTTGAGTTGATATTTCAAATGAATAAGCATGTTTAATTCCTCAAATTCTTCTTCAACTGAAATCAGTGCTGGAAATTTCTCTTAGCCTCTGTGATTGTCACGGTTTTTGTAGCTGTGAATGTTCTGCTAGAGAGAAAGTTAACATAGGTTGTTACAGTAAAACAAAGACTATTTAGGCAGTTTCTTGGCTGGTTGGGAAAGGTAGAAGTTAATGAATGTTCAGGCAACAAAATCTGCAAAATTCTCTTCTAATTCCTCTCTGGGATTCTGATGTTTTGCAAACACTGTTGGTTCTGAACAGCTAGAGAAAAAGAACTTTCTTCCATAAAGATGTACAATCACTGATTCATGAGTCACAAAATGAATAGTCTTACCTGAACTATTGAGCCTTCAAGTGGAATTGTTTCCAGAGTTGGAGGAAACAACTTTTAATCCTCTTCCCAAGCTTGTCTATGTCTGGCTGAACATGATGCTGAAAAGGAAATGTGTCAAGGCAGATACTTTTTATTCTGACTTGTTACTGGTTGTTTCTACAGTTAAACACTAAAATCTCTCCTTGTTTGTTTTCCAGGCACATTTAGATAGTGTATTCTTCCCACATGAAGAATGGCATTTTTGGCCCACTTTGCTTTGCCTTAAACGCCCTATGGTGGTGGGGGAAGTGGTGGGAGGAAGGAAAATGAAGGAAAGATAAAATTTTAAGCTTTTAGGCATCCAATTCTGTATGTCTGTATTACAACACTAGTCAGTATGGTTGCTGAAAAAGAATTGAGTCATTCACCTGTATCTGAGATAATGAAGAAGCACTGAATATCATTTTTCACCTTCCACTTTTTGTCATTCATGCCATCCCTAAACAGTACCTCCTCCCCTCCAGCACACAAAGTCTTCTCCCTCTCCCAGACCATGGGGATTTGTTAAGGGAGAGAGAAGAGATGCGCATTGCATCCTGGAAGGTAACAATTATGGTGTCTGATTATTTTCTGAAGGCTCTCTGGTAGAAATCAAACAGTTTCAGGGTTTTAAAGTTTTCTTGGAGGCAATCCCAGGTAGGCATAAGAGAATGTAGTGACACAAATAGTTCCCATTCAGACGACTTTTAATATCTTTTGTTAACCATCCATGTAATAGTTTTGGTTTCCTCTGGTTTGATTTTACTATAAATACCTATATGTTGAAGTTACTCATTTATTCAGTACAGCTTGTTAAGTGCTAATTATGTGCCAGGTTTGGGGCTTTGTGCTTGGGACACAGATAAGTCATGGTGCCCTGCCCCCAGGACTTTTCTATAAAACAGTGAAAAGAAGGAGAACAAATCTAAAAGACAAAGGAATATATTTTGTGTTTCTTTGTACAATTTTTATTGTTTTCTCATGCATTCTAAAAGATGAATATAAAAACTACTAAGGGATAAGATAATGATATTCTTTTCATAATACCCCTTTGAACCCAAATCACAATAAAATAAAAATAATTTTCTTAAAAATGGAAATGTCATGTTTCATGCTATATTTCAATAAAAGCCTAAGGGACACTGGAGTTTAATTTCCAAGAGGGTAGAAGTTTTTGTCTGTTGTGGTCTTTTATTCACTACTGTATATTCAGTGCCTAGAACAGTCAGTAGCTGATGTACTTCATAAATATTTGTTGATTGAATGAAATGGAAAATATGAACTGAGTAGGAAGTAGAGTTTTTGTATTTTGTAGATGTTCTTAGTATGAAGAGTAAGAATATATGTAAAAGTAGTGTGTAAATTGCAAAGTAATTTTAGAATCTTACTAAAGTAATTCATATTAGATTTGCAGGAACAAATTTCTTTTAGCAAAGAGTGAATGAATATACCAGATTTTAAATTTTAACACCATTTGAAAAGTGCCCTGAGGAATATATCAAATTCTGGTTTTTACCCATTATTCATTTGTGCTTATTCTTAGGAACATCATTTGCAAATATCATCCCAGGCCTAATTTGTTATCTTTAAAAGCCAAGGTAATGCATAACTACTTCTGATGGCTTCAATAAATACTATTTGTACAGTTTTAAATTTTGAAAACACTTGTTAAAAAATTTGAAAGCTTTCTTCCAGGTTGTTCACTTACTTTTTATTTTTACCTGATAGGAATAGATTTGGGAGAAACTTATTTTATAGGTCTATTCATAATTTTAACACATAATGTGGAATGTGTCACAGTAGACAGTCAAATATGGTATGTATTTCCCCTCTTGGAAAACCAGATTTTCCCTCTTGAGTTTAAAAATTAGAGATAAAGAATAATTTTTTTCTGGTTCTGAATGGGAGTTGAAATTGATAGAAAATAGAATATAATGTGTACCATTGAAAATATACAATCAGTACACATAACCCACCTTTGAAAACAAGACTGGTCAATAGTAAACAAACAGTTCTTCTCTTTATCTTCTAATGGCCCTGTCAAAGCATGGGACATGTGTAGAGATGATTCGTGATGGAAAGTGCACAGTGGCATTAAGTAGCAGTAAATCACATACAGAACAAGGTATTCCCTTTTCAATTCTCTTTCAGTCCTTCTGAAGGAAGAAATCTAAGTTGGTGCCAGTATCTCTCCAATCCCCCTAAAACTTGCTGAATCTGTTTTTTTTACAAAGAGAAAACAGGCTTTAGCTCAGAGCCTTTGACAGGCCTCAGTATATAACTAGAATTTAATAGCATTGTTTTCCTTGTGTTTGTTTTTATGGTCATCTTCTATAGAGGCAAATGAGATTCATTATTTACTTAGGATAATCAAAATATCTTTTAAATATACTTACTTGAGTAAAAAAAAAAAACAAAAAAAAAACCTGAATGTCTAAAAGAAAACTATTAAGTAAATACTATTATAAAGTTGCAAGAAATAATAGCAACATGTATTGAGAACCTAATATGTGCTGTACCATTTTATTAATTCATTAGATCCTTGAAACAACACTATGAAGTATGTCCTATTATTCACACCACCATTCTATTGTAGAAATGAGGAAATTGAGATGTGTGGTACTGCGTCTAAGGAGACACTTGGGAGAGATAGGCTATGAGGCCAAAAACTCTGTCCCAGAGCCCATGTCCAGGCCTTTACACTAATGGCCCCAAGATGCCAACTCAGTGCTGGTGGTTTCAGAAACAATGCCTAACACATTTCTCCCATTTTTAAAGGTCCTGCCACACCTTCCCTGAAGAGCACCCGGACCACCATATCTTCTCAATATCCTTCAATATCTTCTACTTTCCCATTACACTTACCTTTTTGCCACATGGAAGGCTCATATTTATTTATGCATTTTTAGTCGCTTCATTTGTGTTCATCCTAAATATAGTGTAATCCCCCTTGGGGACAGGAACTGTCTCTTATACTTCTCTTTAATGGAGTAAATATATGTTTAACAGGATTTTTTAAAAATTGTTATCAAAACTGCTTACTGATTAGTGCATTTGCAAAAATAAGGAATTCTTTTGACCATAAAAAA